ATCTCTGTGTACTGTATGTGTCGGGTAGTCGCTAGCAGAGAAAAGCCAAACTGGATTATTTGTCGTGACTGAAGACAACACCACAACAAATTATACTCTCAAAAACATAAGTCACAATAATCGCAACGGTGGAAGAACTAACACGACAACACATCCAAATAAATGCAACTTTACCTCAAGCTCAGAATGAATAAAAATATTAAACCCATCAACAGCAGCAAACAGAAAGTTATCTAAAGTGTAACCAATCCTGATGATGGCAACAAATTATACATTATAACGCCCTACTTAATATATGTTCTACTAATTTATCAAGTTAATACACTGTCTCTCTTTCTGCCCCTCTAAAATTAACTAATTACAGACTTATACACAGACTTCAAAATGTGTGCAATTAAGGCAAGTTGCAAGACAAGATGAATTCTGCTGTAAAAAAAACAAAAACAAGAAATATCTCTCTCTCGCCCCCCAAAAACAGTGAATTGTCCTCTTGCTGAGAGTTAAGCTGTGGTTATAAGGCAGCTGCAAGATAGTGAAAATATAAATCTGGCCACAAGTGATATGATAAATGGATTGAGGAGTCCATTAATAACCAGCCTAATACAGTATTTACTGGTAGAAGAAACTTGTATAATAATGAATCATGTGGCACCGAGGAATTATGCAATGTAACTGAAGTACGGGAGAAAAATTTACTTTAGATAATACAAGCTCATGCATTCATATTTGCAGCGACACAAAAATAGGTTGCAAATAGTTCAAAACTCGAGATAAGACGGTTTAAGATGGAAGATGGTGTATACATAGGCGGTGTAGGTTGGCTGTACAGTTTAGTGTTACATTCTAATTTGATTAACCAACTTGAGTGTAGCACTGTTATATACTCACAGTGTTAAGCTATCTTCATAACTACAGTCAAGGGCAGATCCAGGAATATCAAAATAGGGGGCCCAAAAAGTTGTGGGTGGGGGAACATGGCGAGCACAGAAAACCCACCCAGCTGGGGGGCACTGTGAGCCCCCCCTAGATTATTTATTTTTTAATCTGACCAATATCATGGGCATTTTGAGGCCATTTTAAAGGCATGTGCACTTGATATTAGGAGATATTTCTGAGGTCAATAGTAATTAATTTTTATTATACAAAAATGCAGGAGTGCAATACTGCATTAAAGAAAAAGTACAGTATTGAAATTTTCTGATGAAAAGGAGATCCAGACACCCCCCCATGGACCCACCCCTGTCGGTATTGTTTAAAACATAGTAACTAGGAAGAAAATGAACAAAGGATTCTCAGATTTCATAAAGGAATTCTTAACCTAAAAATATATTATGAAAGTCTCCAAAAGTAAAAAAATAAAAAAATAAATAAATAACTAAAAATAAATGAAACAATTATAAAAACATAAAATTCATAAAATAGCCTTCACCCATCAGCACTAAATAAAAAAAAAGTACCTATTTTCACAACAAAACAGATAATTCAATCAAAATGATATATGGAAATACTTACAGGGAGATATTTCACTATAGTTTTGTTGCTACTAAGGACTAACTCGGGTTCACAACAAATAACAAAGATACAAATACAGTACAACCACCAAGACATGTCATATGCATTTCATTATTTAAATTTTTTTTTAAATAATTATGGATTGATCTTAAAAGCCCACTATAAATAAGACAAGGAGGAACACTTATATGTACAGTATTCCACCAAAGTGTCTAGGTTAGACAGGGGGAACCTTTAAGTAAAGCAGCTGGGGTTTAAAAATTAGCCAGTAACCATTGCACATACTGTACAGTACAGTAAGTGAGCCCCTCAACCAATTTCAGAGTAGTTTTCTCCCATAATGTTACACCATAACATACCCTTATTCACATAAAACTCAGGCCACCCCTAAGCCTGCCAAGAGAAAAACCAGGTAGTCAAGACTGAAATTTCACTCAAAACCCAAGTGACTCATGTACAAGCCAAGTGATAAAACCTCAGGGAGCATCTAGTCAACGGTGGTTTGATGAAATTCATTGATTAGTTTGTAACAACCTAATTATAATTCACTGGTGGATAGTTGTGTGGGCCCAGCATTTACCTGCTGTGGGCAAGAGTTAGTCACACAATAAGTAATCCAATCTACCTAAGTACCAGGTAGTAATGAATTTTGTTCAATAGACAGGGTATCCTGCAAGAGGAACAACAAGTCTCTGAACTGTAATTTAAAAATGGATTACAAGACTTTGATTCTGGTGCACGAGTCCGAGAGTAATAGCCTTTGATTACGAGTACTACGTACTGTATTGTACAGTATGCTCTTTTAGGCTCTGAATCAGAACATAAACCATTAGTGGCTCACCTACTGGTTGTTTTTTAATTGGGTCATTTGAAATAGAATAATTATCTGAAGATGATTTCATTGTTGTATCATTAGACTCTGGCTTAACAAACAATTGTTTAGGATCTTCAGGAGCGATTTTTGGTTTTGTTGCCGTAAGTGGCGGCTTTCATTTCTAATACACAGTACTGTATTTTTTTTTTAGGACTGTGGTTGAAACAATAAAGTTCATTATAAACTTATCAATGGACAAGTCCAAGCTACCACTAACTAGGTGTTCCCTATAGTTTTAATAATACATGTCCAAGTACAGACTTGGTGGGAATACGGATACAGTATTGTATACACGAGTCACCAGGTCTGTGGATCTGCCATAAAAATGAGATTTCTAGGATCAATTCATCATTTTTAACCATAAAATTTCAACAATGGCGTGACTTCTATTGTACATAAACTATAAATATTTAACATCATAATATATAAACATACATTTCCTTTTGCCTTAATAGACAAGAACAGTAAAAGGGGTCCATGCTAAATAAAATCAACTACTCATAGCCACATACAACTGGTTAATGTCAGGAACATATTCCTTCACTAATATACAAACTCTCTCATGGGTCATAAATAAAATAAATTAAATAACAGATCATACAAGTGTTGATGAGGATCTGGAAAAAGGAACACCGGGGTAGGCAGTGGATGAGAAGGATAAGGAACTAGATACTTTGTCTGGGTGACCAAGGACAAAGAATTGAGAGAAGGGAGGGAGGGAGGGAAATACTACTTGTGCCATATACTTGAGTATCACAGAATGCCTCGGCAACTACCTAACTGGAGTAGTAAGCCCAAGGAATAACTGTACAAGATGAATTAGTTTAGATAAATCACCATAAAGTTGTAAAGATATTTCTAGCATATTTACATCAAAGGAGTTGCGCACGCGTGCACGCGCGCACACACACACCAGCAGCCTGAATGACATTACACAACTCACCAAGTACCAAAATATGTCTAAATTTCACATAAATACATAGTCATACATTAAATACCAAGTACCCTGTAGTAAGAATACTCTCAGTAGCTGTAAAATATAACATACATTTCCTCACGCTCAGAAAAAAGTTTCAGATTCCCTTGAAAGGTGGACTGTTTTTGATTTTCAGAGTAATGAGACTAAAATACGAGCCAAACTTGCTTAAGGTTCAAATTCCTTGATACAGTGAAACTCTCTTTAATGGACTACATTTAAGAAGTTAGTCCATTATATATGAAACCTTCTAATGGACTCATGTGTATGGGGGTTTCACTGTATCTAATAAACAAGAATAATCTCAATCCAAGTAACACACTACTGTACAGTAACCATCCATTACTTCACACTCCTCAATGAATCACCATGAAAATTAATATATACACGTTGTACCTCTCTCGTCCGGCATTCTGTGGTCCGGAAACTCCCGTGGTCCAGAACGATTTTAGTTTGCCCAATAGCCAACATCCCTGATGTAACTCAAAAGTAATTTGAGTTACAGTACCATCACTTCACATTGGAAGCAAAATTATGGCAGCATTAAAGGTAAATTAAATAATATTTTAACAGTATTACTTTTTCTTATTTATTTATTTCCTATCTTATATTTTTATGCTTTATGTAGTAGGGTGGTTCGAGGGTGAATTTCCATTGTCCAGAAATTTCCATGGTTTGGCACCGGTCAGGTGCCAAGGTAGCCAGACTAGAGAGGTACAACCTGTACCAGTAATATCCTAAATCCCATTAATATGCAACAGGTAATCTTGTCATCGTAAAGACAACAACCAGAATAAATAAAAGAATCGTGTCCTATTTTTACCGTCCTTATAAAATAAGTAAGCTAAAAATAAATACTGTAGTGTAAATAATGTCTGGCAGAATGTGAGAAAATCTAGAAAATACAATAAATTTACATCTGTGAATGTATTAGTGCAAGAACCAAGATACTATACTGTACCTCCCTACTGCATGTGAGTCTGACGGAAGAATCTCCACCCCAGCTTATTTCACCTAAATATTAACACCACCCTAATACTATCTAAGGTTAGGTTAGGTAAGCACAGGGAGTTTAATCTTTAGATTTGGTTAAGTCATATAATTGGGGATGAGGACCAGGGGAAGGCAGAGACTAGGATGGATGAATAAAATTAAGAACTGGGTCTCCAGAGAGATACAAAATCTTGGGAGGATTGGTAAAAATAGCCCAAGAACATCTAGAATCGAGGACTGTGGTCGCCAACCCTCAGATATGAGGACGGTATTCTGATTGAGGTTAGGTTAGCATTAGGGTGATTAATCTATAGGTGAAATTAGCTAGGGTGGAGATTCTTCAGGTGATCTGTAAAAATATACCTGTTGCTACAAACACACTATACCGTTCAGTGATTATTATATAATATAAATGAAAAGTGATTCCCGGTATGTCAAGCAAACCCTACAGAAAATTTAACTAATTGAACTTACAGAAGAAATTGGGAATAACTAAATTTGGACTTAAAGTAGAGTACAATGTATAATATCTATAATACTGTTCAGAATAATTTTTCTCTATTTTGCAATAAAAAAATTTCTAGACCTATTCTATCATTAATTGGATCTATCATAAAGATATACTGTACTGGTATGATAAAGTTCTTTCAGAGTTTGGATTCTGCTATAATACAACATCTGCAATACTCAGAGTTCCAAGGTACAGTACAGAATAGTGCTGTGAAACATTAGATGGTTACTGCAACAACTTCTAAAAACAAGGAATAAAGGCCAAATTCATAGTGTGATAACCCAGGTTGTTTGTGCTAATTAAAATGCTTGATTTCCATTGAAAAACAATTTTTAAAAACACTGACCATAGCCAGCAAACTAAGCATTTACACAGTATCTAACACTGAAATTGATTTAATGTCAGAGGTTCACCTACAACTAAATGGACACAAAGGCTGAGAATTGTTAAGTGAGTTTCCACAGTTCAGGCTTAATGTAGTCTGTTGCCTCATACTAGATCAGAAACACTTCTGAATGGAGTTCAAATAAAACTATAAACTTAAATACAGTATACGTATTCAAGTCTTGTTATGAAAAGTAAGTGCATAGCTGGTCACTCCTGTACAGTCTGTCCAACTCCCTGCCAACTTTCCTGCTTATACTTCTGGAAGATTTCTTCAACATCCTTGGAAGGAAGATTGTACTGAATTGAATTATAATTCACTAACAATCTAAGTGCAAACTACCGCTCAATTCTTGACAATGGGAACTTCAAGATATCTCAACATACAAGCATCACTAACTGCATTAAATTGCATGAAGAGTTCATCCAAAATGGCCGATTAAGATTATGAAATCAGATAACATCCATGTTTAATCAGAGCAACAATGTAATTTAACATAGTAACAAGTACAGTATTATTTAATAATCAAAATTCAAAAAGTTTCTCCCATCATTAGTACCACAAGAGCTGTCCATCCGGTAAATGGCCTACATCCTTCCCCGCGTCCAGTTTTGTCATTATAGTGTTCCCATAAATAACCCGTTCTTTTGTATTCTCGTAAAACAATTTTGATGACATTCTGCCGAAGATCTGTGTATATCTCTTTAGCGAGTTCCCGGTGAGGTCCATCTGTACTGCTGTAAAAGTGAAGAGCTCGCACAGCCAAATAATTCATGTTGATCCAAATAGCACCCCGCCAATATGGTGGATCGTGCTCAGTGTTGCGTTTGTTGTATAAGGGTGAATTCTTGGCTAAGGAGCGTAGACCATACGGAGTCCAAAGGAGATCTGGCCGTCTAAGATCATCAAGAACCTTCCCTAGTTTGGCTGAGTACGGATCTATGATTTGTAGGAAGAAAGGAAAGAAACTCACATAACCAAAGGAGTCTACAAACATTAACTTTGCATCCGAGTGAACAACACGTCTCATTTCAGAATTGGGTGTCAATCGTTTCAGTTCTAAGTCATATGTGTGAAGGCCATAGTCCATGTACCCATTAGCAGCATAAGACCAATGTAATGCATCGAGGACATTGTTATCCGAGAGATATTTGTATGCGTCATTGAATCGGCTAGGATCTTTTTCTATAAGTCTTGCAATATCAGCCATAAGCCCCGAGGCTAAAGTCATCCAGCACCTGAGGTCCAAGTGCCTTTCATCAGCTGTTGGGTGAGATGCTCGAGGGTAATCATCGAGACCTGACGTCAGAGTTTTTGGATTCAGTTCTCTCACTGCTCGTGGATCTCGACCACGCCATCTGTATGTCCCTGGTATATCTCCTACCTGAGTCATGTTAAACCAGTTGTACCAAGCTCTTAGTCGAGGCCAAAGGTGGCTGAGATACTCATAATCATCATCTGACAGTTCTTGCTTGAAGCCTGCCATCATGGAGTGCAGAGTGAGGAGTAGGGTGGGTGGATTAGCATTTTTCCCTCGTTGAACAACAAACTCATCAGGGACTCTTGCACGAGCTTCTATGCCCAAAATCTGTTCTCGAGGTATCCAACCATCCCAGTTCATTAAGTCAAACCAATGAGCTAAAATGTCTTGAGATATTTCTCGATCCCATTTAGATATAAGTAGGTTATGGAAGCCTTCATCCCACAGGAAACCCCGGGGAAAGAAACTGCGTGAGGGCACGGCACTGTACAGTGGTGCCTTCCAGTAAGGAACCGGATCACTATTGTACTCCCCAAGTACCTTCGAAGCACCATAAAAGTACCCAATGCCTCCAATCATATTACTTAAAGCAGCTCTTGCAAAATCAATTTCCTCAGCACTAAACCCCTTTGCTTCCAAAGAAAACTTTGATTCAAAATCTGCATAGAACTTTTCCTCGTATCTATTTAACTCCTCGGTTAAAGATTCCCCCATCAACATTCCTGGTCTCCTTATTACACTGTCACTTTCATAAACTACTTCTATGTCAAACGGCACCAGCCCGGTCACCTGGTACACCACAAAGTTGGGCTGTCGATCAGTATCCTCATGACTGAACATCTCTCCTGCAAGTCCAATGTACTTTTCCTTTTCATTTTTTCCTTGGAAGACTCTCAAACCTTTGTACACAGTCTCTTTCAGCATATGAAGTCCCATGTGTTTAGTACTTAGTAAATGTTGATGGAGCACAGTTCCTGAGGCATTGAGCACACTGAGACGAAAGCCTCCAACAGAGTCTGAGATTCCTCTAAGGGAGCCCAATGATTGACTTGTTCCAACCATAGGTTGTAACATTGAATCTCCATCATCTGGGTCCAAAGCTACATAGTATAGAAGAGATGCCTGTCCACCCTCATGTTTTTTGCTCTGAAAGATAGGTAAATGTGTCAATTAAAAAATTAATAAATAAATAAATAAAGAATTATCTAGAATCACCATTCTATATACAGTGGTCCCTCGGTTAACAAGATTTCGGTTAACGAGTTACCTTCCATAAGATTCTTAACTTCTGTTAACGAGCAATCCCTCGATTAACGAGTTTCTTACAAGCCGACCTGAACATGTTTTCGCTTGCATTTGGCGGTCCACCAGCTGTAGTATTAGTCCGCCAATACAGTAATCGGTTCTAGGGCTTAAATTCCTTACCATTTTAGCAAATATCAAGAAGCTTATACTATTCAATAATTTTAAAAGTTTAATAATAAAATTTTTAGTCATTTTAACAATTATTGAACATAATTGAAGGTAATGAAACTAGTTTTATGCACGCCATCCAGCCACTCAACACACCATACAGGCGTCAGTCTTTGTGTCTTTTCAGTGGAGGTAACATCTTGCTCGAGACTCTTCAACTAAATGCTTTTTTTCTGTGTTTGCAAGCAAATTATTGGTCATTTTGAAATTTATTTTACATATTGACAATATATAATGCAGTGCAGTGTTGATTTAAAGAAAATAATCTTGAATTACACCAAGAGAACTAAAATTTTATGGGTGAAATGGCACCACGGGGTGACTTCTCTTCCACCCCAATGCCTTCTCTTCTTCCTTCTCCTCCACCCCCATTCTAATTCCCATCATCATCATCATCTTCATCCAGGAGCCTTCTACATACACACCTCAAAGTAAGTGTATTTTTCTACCTTTTTTGTTGAATTTAGGCAATTTTCGGTGAGCTGGAACCAATTACCCAAAAACCCATTGAAACAATGGTTTCGGTTAACGAGTTTTTCGGTTAACGAGCAACCTTCTAGAACGGATTGTGCTCGTTAACCGAGGGACCACTGTGCTGTAATCACTAAGTGAGGCCATAAATCAATATTTAAATATCCATAAAGGAATCTTCATGTATCATTGCACTAGAATGGTAGAAATGGTGCATAAAATATAGTCCTGTCTTATCACACTCACATAAACACTAGACATGCACACTAAATGCACACCCAACCTGTACAGTCTCGTTCAAGATTCTTCAAACACTGCTGGAGACAGCTGGCAACTCAAGGCCGTTTGTTTACTATAGTACATAGTATAATATAATACAAAACAACAGAGCCCAACCATTAAATTAAGCAACGGGGAATTAGTAACAAATCACAGATCACTTTTACATTTATTCATAATTTTTACTGCGTACTTTAGTAAACAATCAGCCTCGAGTTGCCAGCTGTCTCCAACAGTGTTCGAAGAATCTTGAACGAGACTGTACCAATACAAATATGATCCAGATAAATTTTCCAATAACATAGTTTACCTTAGGAAGGACACTAATCCTTGCTGACCAATCTCCTCCATGCTGACCACCAGCCCTCTTCACAAATTTAGTTTGTAGTACAATATGTTTATCTGTGATGGTCTGTATGCCTATATTGCGCCCATCATGCACCTGCCAGCCATACTTAGACAGGTCATCACCTTGATCACACCAGTGTCTGTAGGAACAAGTGAAATAAATGATAGTACTGTAATTATGTTCTAACAGGGAAATTTCCAAAAAGAAGTAGCTGCCAAAATGCATTTTTACTGTTAAAAATCACGGGTTGACACTGTACTAAAACCCATTTCTATAAACAGCATGGATCAAGTACTGAGCTGCTCTGACAAGATTGTGAATTGGATCCCAGGAACTCTGTAAATGTGCTACTGGATTATTCCACATATCAAATGATTCTAGCAACCTAGAGAGAGGATATTTCCTGCCTTAAACACAGTCCATAAAATAAAACAGGGACAGCACTGATGAGCCTGATGCCTAAGGTCAAGAGCTACAAGACTTTTCCACTGTACTCCTGTGCATGTGCTCTACATCCCACACAGGCTACAATATAGACCTAAGCTTCAATTACCCTCTAGTTCCAGCTCACCCCAGCATCTCTAGGGAGGAGGGAGGATCCAGTCCATACTGGTTATAGAATGGGATTTCAATACCAATCCCCATATTTAACACTTACCTGTAATTGATGGGTAAGGATTCCTCAATGTGTCCCAATATGAGCAAAAACAGGAAGGCATGAAGCATATGAAACTTCCATAGATGTTAGCTGCTGTCCCCACAGGTAACATCAACTTATGTTGGCCACCGTTTAAGGGTTAACTGAAGCAGTGGACTGTGCAGTTCAGATATAGTATTTTAAATATTTGTAATTCATTCATAAATGTAAAGGGGAACAAGTTGATGGATTATGAACACTTAAGGGTAATGTTAACATACCTAAGAGCCAGCATATTATTCTGGAAATGTCCCGGCACAAACCACATCAGACCGGTGACAACTGAAGTTGGGTGTCTATTTCTTGTGCCAAAGTAGACTCCTGGGCGATATGTGCCCCAGTATCTCTCGGGTACAGCTACACCAGACTTTGTTACCACCTGGGAATTTTTTGTTTGTTTTTTAAGAAATACAAATCAATGTTTTGAATAACAAGGTAAAATATTTCTTCAAACTGTCTTATCTAAATTAACACATTAACAACCTCTTCCACTGTTCATTAAAAACCCACTTTTGTCAGTATGACACAAAAATTGTCTCGCCTAACTTTAGTAATACTTGACCCCTAAATAATCCAGTCATCCAGATATTCCCAACAGAAAACACCTTAACCTGCCTGAAACATTTCAGTGTCGCTCATGAAATTTTTGTATTCTCAGCAATTTTCAACCCCTAAGGAAGTACCCAGATAGAAGTTTGAGCATTGGGAGGCCTGACTGTAATGTGTTTTAAGATCCTGATGTAGGTTATACAATAACTGAGGAAACAATATTTCATACAACTTACTTTTGGAGCTGAGAGAGGAGTATTGATTCTAGTTTCCATGTATCCAACATACAAAAAGTATGCAACAGCAAGTATAACAACTCCTGCACAGATCATATAAAGCAATGCAGGGCACCAACTGTGGCTGCCAGATCTCTGCCGCTGTCTTCTGTCTCCCCTGCTCATGCGCTCTGACCGGCATAGTGCACGGGCATCGTCGAGTAAAGCAAGATCATGGTGATTGTGTTCGCTCGAGGACGGCTGCCCTGCGGATATTTTAGTTCTACGCTGTCTTGCCATCTGCAGAAAAAATAAGACAACGTGTACAGATCTTCAAAAGTTTAAATCTGTTACTTAAACCACGGTAAAAATTTTGTAAATCAAACCCACATTACAAGATGGTGCCTCCTACTGTTGAAGTGGATGGTTCACCTTAAAATAAATAGTTTAATTTACAAACACCAATCAAACTACAGCTTTATGTAATGTTTAAAAATCCATGACTAACTGCTGGTCTTCATTTCTGAGGGGAGTACCGTAATTGCCTTCTTGCATCAAAAACCACCAATACAGAAATATACTGTATTCTTCAAGATCTAACAACCACACACTTATATTCATTTAAATATGCTGATTTTAGTAAATTAATGTGGTATCTTTAATAATCCAAATCTGATAAACACAATATGCTGTACAGGTACTACAGTTCTTAATTAAAACAAGTGGCTAATTGTATGGATCTGTACTGCTGATTTCCCCAAGCAAACTGTAGAGACATAGGGGTCACTGGGGTTGTTACCAAATCTCGTCACATTACCTCCTGCGGTGGCTGAAAAATTGTGCTCATCATGTTGACTCTTGCTCAAGGTTATGTTAGGTTAGGTTTTCAAGAATCAATTCAATTCTCATCCATCACAAGAAAACTTGACAATATTTGGTCATGAACTCTATGATCCAATTTTTTTTTACTTTGTGACACCAAATACTAGTCGAGAAGTGATTGGCAGTCCGATTTATTCATGTAGGACCATTATTTGACTTCATTGCGGGTACATTTGGGTAATTAGTCGGACCCCAATTAACTACTGTACGACAAAAATACGAAAACTGGACAATGGTGACCCTCTTCTCAACCTTTATTAAAAATTATAAGGTACAAACTGCAAACTCGCACAGCTCGCAGTTTTTTTCACTCTGCCAAAGATAGTCATTTTTAAATCCGGTAATTATATAGAACTTACCCGCGAGCAAAATTGATTGAAAACAATTATAAAAAGTCGGATTTTCATTGTTATATTATAGTGGACACTGTTGTAGTTTGTTGATATATGTTAAAATTTTATATTTTTAAAATAAACGCTACTTAACATTTGTGGGAATGAAGAACACTTACCGTAACCAACCAAACCTACCTAACCTTACCTAACTTCCCGGTATATTAACCAGAAAGAACTTACTATGATATGGTGAAAATTGAGACACTTTCTGGATGCGAGATGATACGGCCGCCTCGGCGCTATGCAGCCCTGGCGGGTTAGTCCTATATATTAACCTTAAATCCTTCTAATTACCATCCTTTACAGTGCTGACGGCTCCCATAACCTAACACGATAACAGCAGTGTCCAACATATTACTATCCCTAATCTCAAAGCATAATCTTGTCGTAGTCTTTATACTTACAGTGGTGTGGCAGTATAATAGATCACTTATACGACACAGTGAACACTCCCCCTCAACACGCTGGTCGTGGTCACTAGGTACAGCAGGATCAGCTGTTGTTGTTTTGAGTGTCCATGACGTCCGCCGGGCCTCACTCCGTCGCCCGCCGCTAGCTGGCACCACCGCCGGTAACGCGTCACCATGGTGATCACCTGACAGAAAATGGTGCAGGGTACACTGTACTTTTTTTATTCCATTGATTACTTATTTTTTAATTTTAACATATTTATGGAAGGAACATTCAAAGTTACTTGTGACATTAAATTAATCAGAAAGCGCATTTCATAAGGGGCTTCTACGGCAATGAGCAAAATGCCGGTTTATCATGAAGCAAATGAGGTAACTAACTACAGACACTTATGGGCCTCCACTAGTATTATTTTGTTTATTTACCTCCATAATACACTTACTTATATTATGAAAAAAATTATTTACATCCAGCCCTGACAGAAGTCATTAATAGTGTGTCTGTGTGTACAGGAGACGTTATATATATATATAGTATATATATATATATATATATATATATATATATATATATATATATATATATATATATATATATATATATATATATATATATATATATATATGTGTGTGTGTGTGTGTGTGTGTGTGTACAGATGTAAATAGTGTATCTATGTGTGAACAGGAGACGCCAAATGTGTCTGTGAACAGGAGACGTTAATCTTGTGCTTGTATTTACAGGCGATAAGTGTCTGTGCATACAAAGGACGCTAATAATGTCTACCCATATCGCTAAGACCTTCCATATACCTCTTCTATCACCTCCCTCATAAACTTTTCCTAGATCCATGTCACAAAAATATTTTCAATAAAATTTTCACTATTTTTCCTTAACGTAATAAAATTATCGACACATCTTTTTCCTTCCCTTTCATTTCTCTCCTATTTTTCCATTTTTCCATTTTTCCCCCACAAGGGGTCACAGCTCAAGATTGAAGAAGCCGCAAGTCCAGAAAACCGTGAGGGCAAACTTGTTAGGGGTGAGGGTTGTAAACTCTTGGAACAATCTACCATAAAGTGTTGTGACGGCACCGAGTGTGAGCTCTTTCAAGACAAGACTTGACCAACACTGGAGCGGGTTCAGGTACATTCAGGAGCCGGTGCATGCCCAGTACTTGCCAACAGTGCGTAACTGAGACGTGACCGATTGCCCGGGCGGTTAGCGAGCCGATCTTTTGGTGAAGAAGATAATTGAAAAGAGACGTGACCGATCGCCCAAGCGGCTAACAAGCCGATCAGTGGCGAAGAGGATAAAAGTAAAGTAAAGGTGAACCAATAGCCTCTTGGCTGCTGGGAGTGGGACGCGGAACACTGAGACAACAGTAACCGCGATGTAGTAATTACTGTGTAGGGTGAAATTTGCGTTTATGTTTGTAGTGTGTGTTTTGTATACTTTAGCAAGAGCAGCCCAAAACCTTCAGGACACCATTGAGTGGGCTCCATTGGCTTCCCAATTCACCAGGTACCGAGCAGCTAGTTTCAACGAACAGAGGATCTGTGTTTGTAGCATCTGTATGAATTATGTGTATAAGGACTAAGGTTGCGACCATTGCTGTCCAAGGTGCAGCAAGGTGAAGGATGGTGGTTCACACAGTTCCCAGTCATCGTTGACAGAGGGAAAGATCTTTGGCCTGAACACTGGTCGAGGTGCTCAATGCCTCGACTTTCGCGTCCTTCTTCTCCATTTTTTATTTCTATTTGTTTTATTCTAATAAGATAGCACTAATCTATGTTGTGGCTGAGTTTAGGCTAGACAGATTGTTGCCAGTAGAGTGTGTAGAGTCTAAAGATAGGAATGAATCTTATTATGTATAATGGCAAAACCTGAAGTCAGTTTCATTAGGTTGATAATAAGATATACTTGATATGAGTAGTGATGGAGTGTGTTATTCCCTGAGTAAATGATTTGACGGAAGTCTTCTCAAAATCATGGCTATCATATACTGCAGCAGCTAGCCACTCTTTAAAACAAGTTAATATGATTGTTTAGAAAAGAAGTTACGGCATTCTTATCTTCACAACTTCAAGCTCAATATGTATAAGTGTTCTCTTAATTACCTGTATGTTTTGTTAAGAAATACTGGGAAGCCATTCTGAATTGCAGTTCTGTTCATCCTTCCGCTCGTCACACGCTGTTAAGGTCTATTGTTTGTCATCAATTCTCTTAAAAATATAGGAATTAACAATCATAATCAATTTTGTATTTATCTTAATATTTAATTGTTGGTTGCTAGTATATTTACTGTACGCGCTTAAAGACTTAAGTAGGTGAAGTGCAGTAATACATTATAACACCAACAATAAGGACTCACGGGTGCAATAGAGCACAATCACATACAGTATATAGCTTCGGCATAATTATGAAATTTAGGACATTTCCTCTTTTTCATCATACACGGGTTAATTATGTGGAAAATTGTGGCAAACCAAACGCAAATTAAATTAACTTCAGTTATGTGTTTCTGGGGGATTTTTTCAGGATAATTTTAATATTTTCCTTTTATCTGTACCTGACAAATGCCTTAGTACCAGGATATTGAACAAGTAAGGAAATATTTTTTAGCACACTTTTATTAAACATCTTTACTCTTTATCACATATACTTTTGCTTTAATTTTTAACATTAATGTACTGTATTATAAAATATTTCTAAATATATCTCTGACGATAACACACTCCAATATATCTCCTGACGTATAATATAGCCTATTGTATACACTCTTGAGCATGACTGAGAATGAATGGACGATGAGCTGGCAAGCTTCTACTTAAAGGCTTGTACATATATAAATACATATTCACATTCTTAGGATAACTTCAGCGTTCTCATTTTAAGTGGAAAACCAACAAGGAACACGAGTGTGTGTGTTGCGGGTTCACCTCCAGTATTATAAACACTGTGAACCTTTAGAAATTTTTTTCCTACTAAGTATCTGGGAAAATAACGACTCAGCTTAACAAGTAGACATTAATCGTTTAGTCGCCAACAGATGGAAAATGAGAAGGCTGAAACTTATCAATATTATTACCGTGGCGCAGGGCTTAAGAATTTAATGGTTCCTTTCCGTGGCAAGCACGGAAGAGAATAAATAATAGTTTTTGTTGCTTTTATTACTTAATACCATTTTTATTATATTAGGAACGTACTAGCTATATAAATATCTTATGTTATAGAGAAATATGAGAAGTGAACAGATAAGAACTTCCAATAATATATCGTTATAATAATATATTCCAGAATGATTTCTCTAAGCAGCGCCACAGGCTCACTACACAAACAACCACATCACGAAATTCTAAATACCAACTTTTTTTATCCTTTGCACACTAAGAATAGCTAAAAACTGGCTCAACATGGGGTCGACAGCACCGAGAGAGCACCCATGCTGGAAGCTTCTAGGAACTTACTGGATATTATAATATATACCAATATCATGATTTACCACAAAGGTATATTCTTACTGTTAAACAACATGCCCTCACAGAGATCGGTGCGAAATCATACTGAATGGTTCAAATGCATTAATGTACAGTACCTGGAGCAAAATGATCTAAAAAAATTGTACGTACTGTACATAGATAAGAGTAATACAAGATTTTTTCCATTGTTCACTGGTACAATAATGTTAAGGTTATATAAGATTAGATTCAGCTTAGAAAGTTTGGACAGTTTAGGCTTGATTAGGTTAAGTCAGATACATTGCAGTGTATAGAAATTTGAAAACTATACGCCTCAGTTTTCACGTCACAAAATATTTACATTATCAAGCTGTACTTATTGAATATAATATGTAGGCCTATCAACATAATCGGATAGGCTACATGTCTTTTTGTACACATCGATAAACTTTAAAATATATAAAGTATTATTTTATTATATATCCCAAGCACAGAGGTCGGTAAATCCAGTGGTGACTCCCTAGTTAATAAAAACGTACACATTAGTGGTTAAGGGTCTGTAAGTTGGTCTCTTGCAATACACAAAACTCACCGTAATGTCAACTTTGTGTGGGGAAGGCATTTTTCAAATTCTGTACTACAATTTGCCCTGCCTTTCATTGAGGGCATTTTACTCCGGGTAAATATGGGAAGACAAAATTAGGCAATAACAGATCAACGGCTCCATTCTCCTAAACCTTTTAGTACACTTAGCAAGTCCTATAGAAGTATAATTTCAAAAGAAAGCTGACATCCTTTTTGTCCTAATTCAAATACATGAACCTTTTACTGGGATGTTCACTATTACTAATGGACGGGTCTGTCCTGTTGAGGTACTTTACAAAAACTCCCGGTGCATGGACGTTTCACCTTGGTTTAGTTAGGTTCAGAAACATATGGCACGATTTAATCGTCTAGTACCAATATATCCTGGGATTAAACGTCCGGGGCCAAGACGCAATAGGACAAAATGTTTGGGGCCAAGACGTAATAGGCTAAAACGTCCGGGGCCAAGACGTAATAGGCTAGAATGTCTGGGGCCAAGACATAAAAGACCAAAACGTCCGGGGTCAAGACGTAATAGGCTAAAACGTCCGGGGCCAAGACGTAATAACCTAAAATGTCTGGAGCCAGGACGAAATAAGCGATATAATCCGGGGCCATGATGCCATAAGATAAATTAATTGGGAGTAGACGTCTAAATTCAAAACGTTCAACAAGGGGTTCATAAAGACCCAAAAGATGTTTGTGTTGACAGAGCTCTTTGAAGATGTTACATGTCCGCTATTAAAAGTGAAATTGTAGAGAAAAAAATATAGTATATATTGGCTGTACACAAACACGTCCTGATCATTACAGAGAGCTCTTCATGCGCACCTGGACGACTTCAATGACAAATAGAAAGCAGTTCAAATTTCACAGTACTAGTGATGGCGAGCTTCCATAACAAGAGGTAGTCATTCCGCTGAAGGCAATTAAAATTTTACATTATACCCTAGATGTGCTATTGGCGTTTTCCCAACATATGTGCTTCTTGCTTTTGGTGTTACGTATTAGTATTGATCATAAATATGAAGATCTCCATAGTAATATCTGTCTGCTAGATGTTTTCATGTATACAGGTGCTACAGTGTCTCAGGTTTCTTACCTTTAGTTATACGACTATTGTTCCAGCGTTAAAATCTTGAGGTCGGTTATTAACACGCTTTATATATTAATTTCAAGAAACCATCAGACGATCTTGATAGGTTATATAAGAACTATACAGGTCATCGTTTGTACAGAACCTCCAGTGACATGAGTGAGAGAATGTAAACAGTGACCATCAGTCGTGCACCTTTCAGAAACAAGTTTTAAGCCTATAACTGATAATTTTTCAATGATATTAAACTCGTGTATTTTTTCTTTCGATAAAAGAACACATGAGACTCATTTAACGAGATACAAACAGCGGCCGAAACAGTAGACTACTATACCGAAATACTCTATACTTCCTGGTTCTTGAAGAAAATATTACCAATCTATGAGAATCCAGGCCCTGATGTGTTGAATTATTTTTTATTGAAACAATTGGGTGTACTGTGCATATGTCTTAACAAGTAGCCCAGTGGTGAAGAGGATAAAAGTAAAAGTAAATCCCTTCAGGCAGATTCCACCTTGAGCAGGGTGTGTTAGAAGGTTTATTTGGGCGAGGCCTTTCTCTGCCTGGAAGTTTAACTCACACATAAAAGCACAAACCAACGTCTTTACTATAATGTTTCGGTAAATGCGGCTTTCTGAGGTATATATATATTTCAAAGTTATTAATGGGACATTATTTCCACAAGTGTGACAGTGGGATCCACGCATATGCAGCATACAGCCTACACTATATAATGAGGCACATCCAGTTATATAGCAACACATTATACACATTCATCTATAAAGAACTATACTCGAGGCATCGTACAGTATATCTAGTATGGCGTGTAACATTCTTCTCTTTTCAGGCGTCAAGCTGAAACGTTAAACTTTCGTAAATTTGGCAACATTAATTTTTTTTCAGCTCCCTGGGAGAAGAGTGCCAAGGTCCATATAAAAAAATATTGGTAGAACATAGATATACCTTACAAAATATACTGTTATAGCTCAGGTAAAATGATACATTGATATATAATCAGTACGCTACACAATACAGTCACCCTCCACACAGGGCTAAACATTAAACACTCAACATTATTGGTAATTTTGACAGAAATACGGGGATGTTACTGTCAAGGTTAAGTAATATAGTAATATTTTCAGCTATACATTGCTATGTAATATAAATTTATCTCTACCTATACATACAAAATATTTTACAAATTATCTAACATCAAACATCACTTCGTAATAAAATATAAATCAAGAAACACACCGAGGAGAGAATTCTGGTGACTGTTAACACTTCAAGCAGTATTAGTGCTCTCTAAAGCATTTTTACTCCGCCCGGTCCTTGTCCAGTCGTCTACAATATGAATTGAAAAGCCTTTATGATTCAACTGATGTGTGTGTGTGTGTGTGTGTGTGTGTGTGTGTGTGTGTGTGTGTGTCTAGAGCAGCTTAATTCTCGGACCTCTTGATATACTGTTGTGTGGTCTTTCTCAAACACGGCTCTTCCTATAATTCTTGCTTTCATGAAAATTACCCCCACAGGTTCTGCGGTAACTGGTGACAGGATCTTCAGCTTCCTCAGGTGATCTTTATTGCTCAATTCTTTAGCTAGAGTGCCAATTACCAGGCAGGCATCGGCGCAGAATCTTGTTAAATGCTTTTTACGAAATCCATACATCACATTTAATGTCCCTCCTGCGTCCAATATTTCTGTCCATGTCCAGCACTTTCAGCAGACCAGTAGATCTGCCTTTTCTAAAGTATTGTTTGCCAATAAGTACGCGATTTTCACCATATGACCTACAATACGATCTATTATGATCGATTCCATAGTTTTGTAAAGAATACAAACAATTCACATCTGTAGATACTGGCCAATATCCGACGCACCTTTCTGAATAGAAATGTTATGAATTTACAGCCTGCAGTGAGGCAACGCATTAGCTGCTGAATGTTAAGAATTAGACCAGCACCTACATCATCATCATAGGGAAACGTCTGCATGAATATCTAGATTTATATTACTGTATATGAAGTTTTTGAAGGAAGGAAATAATACGTATGTCACTTTAGTTTCCAGGAATTCTTAGTTTTCACATGACGTCACATACGCCCTCCGATAATGCAACGCGTCTATACTACAAGATGGCAGAGGATTATCGGAGTTGTGACGTCAATGCAAACTAAGAATGGCAAATTTACTGAGAGAGCGAGAGAGACGTCTTCGTTCTGTACATGAGTCTGGCCTGTCATACTCAGTATCTTATGTGTAATGTGCTTTAACTCGGTGAACAGGATAGAGTGTGTGTGTGTGTGTGCCCTCTATTGGCCGCGTGGCATAACACATAAAGCAGAGAAAGCACTCACACGCCCATCTTAGTTTTCACATGACGTCACATACTCCCATAATGCAAAGGATTATGGGAGTTGTGGTGTCAGTTCAAACTTCGAATTATACCACCGTCGCGTTATTTCTGGCCCTAAAAAATCAATTTTCATTTAATACACTTCCTGTTACCTGAAAAAATCCCTTCAGGATAGAGAAGTAGTTTTTTAATGCACGTGACAATATACAAGCAATAATTTTTTACCTCAACACGCTATACTTTCCACTGTGGTGAAAAAGTTTTATCTGTGTTTTATCCTGTAAAACTGTATTCAGGATCAGGGTCATTACATTTGACAATATTCATCTCTATTATTTCATTATACAGTTATCAGGCTTACGTAATTACACTGACAACCTGTAACAGTTTATTCTGGAAGATAATTTGTCCAACATTAACAGCGACTCTAAACATCCATAGCGATGATGACGGCGACGAAAATGACGACAGCGATGGAGGCTCAGAACACGTTGACAATTTCTACACTGGAAGACTTACAGTATAACAGAAGCTAACTCTTACATTATCTAACAATGACATTAATTTGAATCATTTACTCATTAGTATCTGACAACGTGTTTGTATGAGTGAGTATACAGTGTTATTACTTTCCACACCCGCCCATCAGACACATGTTACCGCTGGTAAGTGTGTGTTTGTCTTGGTGGCAACACTCTTTGTACGTCCGCCAGCCTTGTTGTCTTCACCTTGGTGTCTTGGTTCTCGCTGCCAGCCGCCCTACAGTCACCAACCTCACTCTAAAAAAATAATCTTTCCTGAATTTATAAAGAAAACATAATTACACTTAAATGTACATATTCATATAGTACAACACACAAATTTCCAAGAGCAGGCCACAAATACTACTGTACTCGGATCAATGTACGTTACAACATCCTTTGTATACACAGGATTTCAATATCACTCATATTAAAATTTACCAGGTAGCAATCTCTCATGAGTTTCATCACATATGACCTCGTTTCAAACATGAAATTGGGAAATACTTCACAAGAACGTCTTAATAAAATAGTCTTGCCAGGCTCCAGATTTTTTAAAAATCTCGTAAGGTGAATATTCCTTGTATCTGGTTATACTGTAGTGTCAACAAGTTAGATAATAGTTAACATTGTTGGAAATAAAGGTAAAATAATCACATAATTCACACCAGACAGTTTACCTGATATAGTTCTGTTGGCGACAATGTTCCCAACACTAATGTTACAAAATATTTTCGTGTAATTTTAACACCACATGTTACCGGCAATATTGTGTTGGTGTGGACCCATCTTAAGAATGCATCTAACAAGTTAACTTTAGTCTTTAGCTCAAGCAAAAACTGACAAACAAAATTTGTATGTGTTTCCCTTCCTTGGAGCGAAGTGAAGGTACGTATAGTTATATTAAGTTAGGGTAAAACTGGTTGGGTTAAGAACTTAAACTTAGTTCGGTTTGGATAAAGAAAACGCAGATGGTAATCCAACACCCGAAGCTGTTTTAGTTGTAACTAATATGATGGTTATATCGTTAGTTACTTTCAGAGGAACTAAAAGTTGGGTAGGATACAATAGCTTTAAAGGGCATAGTGTCAAAAATGTTAATGTGAGAAGAAAATCACCGCAGGAAATTCAGCGATAGGCAAAAACAAAATAGCATGGTACAGCCTATATATTACTTTGATCTTCCACTGACAAACAACAAACGTCAGCAGTGATTGCTTATAGGTGATATTTATAAAATTAATGATTAGGACGAAATCAAAGGCTCCCCAGATAGTAATTTCACATTAATACAAAAATATAAATAACGCATACTGTAGGTCCTTTGAAAGTGTGTGCCTACTGAAGCCTCGTCCCGTGTTATTAATATCGGGTTCTAAGATATCTGATTCGCCTATCTTGATTCTCAAAGATTAATAAGTCAGTCCTTTTCCTTTCCCCCATAACTGAAAGCTTAAGAACATATCTAAAATACCTGAGTGGAAAATGCGACTTAGATATGGATTATGAGAAGTTTGGCCGTAAGAGACGTCATCAATACTATAGATACGGTAGAACACACAAGTCTGACATTGCCGCCTGTTCACGCTCCGCAGCTCAATTACGCCAAAATGATGTGTTCTCGTACATCAGCCAGGAAAATATTAAATGCATGGATATTAATAATCTGAATTTAATTTTCGTTTACGTTAACAAATTTGAAGGAGTCTTGAGAATGTGAGCAGTGTGTAAGGAGATATTTCAGCAGGTTAGTAGTGGAGGTTGGGGAAGCCTAGCATGTAGATAACACTGTACTATATACTGGCTGGTAATGTGACCGGTGTACCTAAATGTGTGTGTGTGTGTGTGTGTGTGAGTAAATTATATAACAAGTAAGTCTGGTCACGTAATTTGGTGGAAAATATTGGTAGTTTCTATCCGAGGTAATAATTAGCCTTGCTTTCAACAACTTAATTTGATTACTTGGCAGCCCCTCTATACCACCCCCACCCACCACCCAAACTATCGTGGATTGTGACATCATCATCAGTCAGTACGACCACCATCACATAATCACCACCATCACTTCTCCCTCATCATCACCACTATCACCACCAACACAACCACTATCACACTACCACAACGACACTACAGTACCACTATCATACCAACACCACCATTCTCCCTATTACCATCATCGCTTACTACTATAACCAATATTCAACAAAAACGTCTTGGTCCATCAACAACTCCTCGTAAAGAAAGAATCTCATTTGACTGCTTCCATCGAACGTTCTATAGACCAACACTCCCACACAGGCCCCACACAATGAACGATTTCTACAACCTTCATCAGGAGTCGATTACTAATTAGTATTCACATCCTTTAATTAATTCATAAAGATGTTTGAAGGAGAAGGTTTTGTCTGTATGTCTGTCATAAAAGGGTTAATTATCGGTGAGGGTGAAATGAATTTGTTCGTTTATCTTATCTCTTTTTTTCTATACTACAACTACATTTTTTAAGACTACTACTATTATTATTACTATTACTACTACTAATCATAATAATAATACACTAATATACTGTACATATAAAAAGCAGTCTGTTTTTTTTGTTTGTGTGTGGATGTTCGCTATCTCTGGCAACAGTTTTGGAGACAATTAAAATTTTCCAAATAAATGTATATGCACCCCAGTAGTGTCCCTAAGGTGGATTTTGGGGGATAGGTTGACTAATTGGTCCCCCATCCCAAAGGTGTTAACCCCGATATTATTATTATTATTATTATTATTATTATTATTATTATTATTATTATTATTATTATTTATTTATTTTTATTTTTTTTTGCTAAGCACGCCCACGGATTTTAAGAGCTAAAATGTTGACAAGTTTATATAAATAGCCCCGATAATACTCATGAACGTCTAATGGTAACAGTTATGAACATTGAGCTGAAATTTGGCATGGTTATTTTTTTAAGAGTTTAATTTTACCCGAGGATGAACGTAGGCTATCAGCTGCCATTCTAACGGGCCTACCGTGTGTGTGTGTGTGTGTGTGTGTGTGTGTGTGTGTGTGTGTGTGCGTCTATTTTTTGCCTCGCCTCATTTTTAAAAACAGGAGTTGAAATTTAGATGATAACGTTTACTTTATTTTATCACCTCATTTATTTTGATGCAATATTACTCGAAAAATTACAATTCACTCCATACTCACTCATGACGGCAGAGCCAGGGTGTGTGGGCGTGGGTGGTCGTGGCGGGTGAAGACCGGTGTGGGGCGGGGGTGCTGGGGGGAGGTGGGGGCGAGGGCGGGCTGAAGGGAGAGACGGTGGGCGGCGCGGGAGTGGCAATAGAACATGGGAGACAGCTCGTGGGAGGCGTTGCAGCTATGACTACGCTGTGAGAACCTCAGATATCCCTGGAGGCGGTTCTTGGTGCTCCTGTGAGAGAGAGAGAGAGAGAGAGAGAGAGAGAGAGAGAGAGAGAGAGAGAGAGATACTGCAATAAGTAAAGGGAACTTAAAAATTATAAACTTACTAAGAGTTTTTCGCATGTTGGAGACGGTCTCAAAATTCTATACAATACTTGTATTAGTTATCACGAAGAAGGTGAAGGGGGAGGGAGAAGGGGTGTGAGAGGGTCGTTGGATAGGTAGGTGGGTGGGCGGAGGACTCACCTGGGCATCTTCCAGGCGGCGTAGAAGACAGGGGTGGTGAGGGTGGGGAGGAACGCTACCCACACAAAGGTGATGAAGGTGATGTCGAAGTGACCAGAGTTCTCCGTCGTCTCCAACACCATGTTCTTCACCAGCCTACGACCACCAAGCCCACGATCACCACGTAACCAAGACCATCACGCCAACATACAAGGATAAGGTTGGTGTTATGTTTTTAAGGATTATTATATCATTGCAACATCTACTCACAGTAAACAGGGAGAGTAGATGCAAAGTAGACAGATATTGGCAGCCTTTCGACAACCACTTTGCCTACAACATTCAAGCCATTCACGTATACCCTCCACACACACACACACACACACACATTTAAGTCACTCAATAAATCAGGATCACAGTACTGTACTGTACAAGACCAACGTCATTATTGATCACTCGGCGCTTAAGCCATTACTACGACAAGGCTGAAGAGAGACCACTTCTGCCTTGTCTTTCAATGTGAAGTATATGAAAACAGTTCTTTCAAACAGGGTCTTTTTCATGATAAGAACTATATTTTGTTTTTTATTCTTCCCCGTAAATTAAGTTGTCTTGACAAAGGCAACTTTTGTCCCCGAGGTTTAAAAATATCAACCAACCGACCACTGAACAAACAACCATGCATGTTATTCACCGCCACATAATGGTCAAAGGAAATTGAATGAAAAGTGTTAAAAAAAACTTGCACTACGTCAAGACACTCGCCCAAGACTGGAACACATATTACTGGAGCTGGGTTCGTAATTTATATCAAAACCCGAACCCGACAATCATCTGGTGAATTTCCATATAAATGACAGCCATCTTGATTTTTATACCGTTCCCTACTGCGCTAAGAAAAAAGATAAAAATATATAAAAACAGATTACACAAGCCAACCTAACCTACTTTTACATAATTAGTTCAGGGTCCAACTCAATCTAGGTTCAATTTTGCATCCAGGTTTCAAACTGAAATCCAGTATAGTACATTAAGCGAGTCCTCTAATCTTATAGCTTGAAAAATCCAGCAGGTCTAAATAATGGGTTTCGGCACTACTATAATCTGGTTCCCGATTTTACTGATTTTGAAATTAAATCTGAGTCCGGCTTTAGATTTTTGCGTGAAAATAGCCTGCTATTCACCTACGGACACCAGTCAACAGTCCACATTCACTACCACCCCACCGACCCAAACAAACACACAAGCTCCTTTCTCTCTCTTCCCTAGTACTATTATAGCCACCCGCTCTGTAAATTTAACTCGTCAACTTTTTCCAGAATCACTTTTTTTTACACCAAGATGTGGAAAATACGCCATCTATATGCAAATTCAAGGGCAAACAATGGAGAGAATTGTTTTAGGCAGGAGATACGGGCTCCTTGCTTTTACTGCACCCAGCCAATCACCAAATGCGGGGAGGTTTAGTATGGCGCCAACACATTAATGTTGGATTCTTGCATCTCTAATAATAATAATAATAATAATAATAATAATAATAATAATAATAATAATAATAATAATAATAATAATAATAAAAATAATAATAAACATCAAAACACATATTTATTATCTTGACTCTTATCTGTAAATAAACACATAATAACTTACACATACATACACATTATACAGTATATACAAGTAAATCTAAACTGTTTAATATACACAAATAATCCATTAACTCGACACAGGATATGATGATACGTAATACTCCATCCATTACGTTAAGCTTGACAGGTGAGAAGTGTTGTACTTTGAGGAGACAGTAAATTAAGTACAGGTAAGAATACAATAATGATGTAGTAGTTAATATCTGTAATGGTTTATTTGCCTCACCTAAACCTACCTGTCTCTCATCTAGAGTGTACCTCACCTAGAACCTACCTACCTACCTACCTCACCTAAGTCCTTCATCTAGAATCTGCCTCACCATAGTCCCTCACCTAGAACCTACCTACCTACCTCACCTAAGCCCTCACCTGAGTATCATGAGGGGAGAGAGGCAGAGGGCGAAGGTGGTGACTATGGTGACTAGGTAGCGCTGGGTCCTCCTCTCCGCCAACACAATCATCTCCGCCTCCCCAGCTCGCGCTCCCCTACTGCTGCTGCTCCTCGTGGGCGTGTGGGGGGGAGCCGTGGTGGTGCTGGTGGTGGTGGGCGTGGGTGTGTAGAAGGAAGAGGAGAGTTGGTGGACAGCGGCAGCGTCGTGGTAATGGAATCCGTCACGACTGTCCATCTCTGTCATCATGGTGCTGTCAAGGGAGGGGAGGGATAGACAGGTATAGGGTCAGTATTGTAGATAGATTGACAGATATAGACAGGTAAGTGGGGATAATAGCGTAACAGTCGTGACAGGTGGGAAGACACGTAGATAAACGAAGAGATGGTGGGCAGGTGGACAGACAGACATTGACAAACACAAGCATATATATATACCAGCAGATGATAGTCCAGTATAATTAAGACACACACACACACACACACAGTTACAGTTCTGACCTTCCTGATTTCCCAGTCATCAGAGGTCGTAGACGTTACTTTGATTTTTTTTAAGTTCTACAAACAAACTAACAACAACAACAACACTAACACGACTTCTGATCAACTACCATTAACAGGACACACACACACAACAGATATATTACTGTTTAACCCCAGACTTTACACTGTTGGGTTTACATTTTACACTTTTGCAATACATCTATGTGAACAAGGTCATCGTGTGTTTTCAGGCTTCCACGCCCTTAATGCATGAGTCATAAAGGCAAGCATGAACTTAGCATGCTTCCCTGTTGGGCGCTGTAAACGCTTCTGCGCTTCACCTTGCACAGGATGTAAGGGGGTGCCCAATAAACTAGCCTCCTCCGGGGCAATCAGTAATCTGAGTCATCGTGTGTGAACCCATTTCATCACATAAATTCAGAATAAAAATATATTTCAGACAGATTACATAATATTTCAGGTACAGACTACAATATGATAGAAGAACGTATTGGTAGTGATCAGTGTAATAATGTATATAGTATATTATCACGCCGTGTTATTTTGAAGGGGGAAATATTACCCATACAGAACACAGGTATAAGTACAGACTTATTATATAGTATGCAATGGTGACAGTTTACACATATATTATATAAAAATAGTATATATGGTATATTAAGATCAAGTTATGCGAGAGAGAGAGAGAGAGAGAGAGAGAGAGAGAGAGAGACATTGTAGATTTATTTGTATATTGATAGAGACAAAGTTTACCTTACCTTCCTTTTAATTAAAGTCTTAACTAAGGAAGAAATCGAACTATTTACACCTGTTCTTGACCTGGAAGACTAGAGTTAACCTGTTGACCCTGGTAAAGTGACCTCTTGACCTGGTAGAGTGACCTCTTGACTGACGTGTTGGCCCTGTATACTGACCTGTTAACCCTGGTAGACTAAACAGTTGACTGACCTCTTGACCTGGCATATATTGACCTCTTGACCTGTTAAACTGACCTGGGGAAGAACCTGTTATCGTGGAGGCTCCAGACCTCCTGCTGGGAGTCTTGGGACCTGGATTCTCTCCTGGTGGGCAGACTGACGGAGGCGGCAGGGTCAAGACCTCTCAACACCACACTCACACGCACGTGCAGGAAGGTGATGACCCCTAGAGGCACCGCGAACCTGTAGGTGGCGTAGGTGAGTGAGCTAAGTGAAGGTGGCACAAGTGGTGGTTAAGGTGATGAGGGTAGGACAAGGATATACTCACAAGGATATACTCACAGGGATATACTCACAAGGATATACTCAAGGATATACTCAGGGATATACTCACAAGGATATACTCAGGGATATACTCTCAAGTATATACTCACAAGGATATACTCACAGAAATATACTCACAAGGATATACTCACAGGGATATACTCACAAGGATATACTCAGGGATATACTCTCAAGTATATACTCACAAGGATATACTCACAAGGATATACACAAGGATATACTCACAGGAATATACTCACAAGGATATACTCACAGGGATATACTCACAAGGATATACTCAGGGATATACTCACAAGGATATACCTAGTTATATACTCACAAGGATATATTTACAAGGATATACTTACAGGGATATACTCACACGGATATACTCACAGGGATATATTTACAAGGCTATACTCACAGGGATATACTCACAAGGCTCTACTCACAGGGATATACTCACAAGGATATACTCACAGGGATATACTCACAAGGCTATACTCACAGGGATATATTTACAAGGCTATACTCACAGGGATATACTCACAAGGCTCTACTCACAGGGATATACTCACAAGGATATACTCACAGGGATATACTCACACGGATATACTCACAGGGATATATTTACAAGGCTCTACTCACAGGGATATACTCACAGGGATATACTCACAGGGATATACTCACAAGGCTATACTCACAGGGTAATAAAGAGGACACGGATATACTCGGATATATCATCGTCCATGTTGATAGCGCAGATACCGACTCCCTTAAACTGTGGCCCCAGGAACTGCTATATGGGGAGAGAACTGTGTTAGTCTCTCTCTCTATCTCTCTTTATATGCCTTTTTCACCCTTTCTCTATCCCTCTCTCTCTTTATCTCATTGTTTTTATTCTTTTCTCTCTGACCCTTTCTGTCTTTATGTATTTCTATCTCTCTTTCTCATTCTATCTTTATCGTTCTCTCTCTTTTAAATTATTTGTTTCTGGTTTCTCTTTCTCTAAGTCATTGTTTATTCTCTCTATCTCTTTAATAAAATTCTCTATATTTTTCTGTCTCTCTCATACTTTCTCTCACCCTTTCTTTCCCTATCAATCTCTCTCTATATATATCTCTCTATCTCTGTCTCTCTATCAATCTCTATCTATCTCTCACCCACCTACAGGAGGCCAAACACTCACACCTGGAGGCCACAAGAAAATTACCCACCTGGAGGTCACAAGAAAATTACCCACCTGGAGGCCACAAGAAAATTACCCACCTGGAGGCCACAAGAAAATTACCCACCTGGAGGTCACAAGAAAATTACCCACCTGGAGGTCACAAGAAAATTACCCACCTGGAGGTCAATATACTTCATGTAGACGGCGTAAGGTAGAACAACACATAGGGCGAGGAGCCAAGTGGTGAGCACGGCGAGGAAGGGAGGGAGGCGAGGCTTATGAGGCCACGATACTAGACGATACCTGTCTAACGCCACCATCACTAGCGTCCCCATTGTGGCGTGGAGTGGTGCGTCCTGTCGAGGGTGAGTGGGTACAGTGGGTGAGGTGAGTGGGATGAGAGGTGAGAGGTGGGTTAAGTTGTTTAGTATACGTTCTAAATTATTTTTTATAATTATTTTTTTTATTACATTTTATAATAGTTACAATGACGATTAAGTTATCATTAACACACAAACACTTGATAATGAACGCAAATACCTGGTAATTAACACACAAACACCTGGTAATGAGCACAAATACCTGGTAATTAACACACACACACACACACACACCTGGTAATGAACACAAATACCTGGTCATTAACACACACACCTGGTAATGAACACAAACACCTGGTCATTAACACACAAACACTGGTAAGGAACACAAACACGTTGGTCATTAACAAACATAACACCTGATCATTAAAAACACCTGGTCATTATCACACAAACACCTGGTAATGAACACAAACACCTGGTCATTAACACACAAACACCTTTAATTAACTCACAAATACCTGGTTATTAACAGACATAACACCTGTCTATATATTCCTATACCGGGCAGATATAACAAGATATAAAGTATTCATCTATATGGAAAATAAATTACAAGAATAAATTAAACCTTAATTTATATGGTAAGTTTTTGGTGAAATAGACGGTTTCTTGAGGAGTCTATTTAATTAAGTTTCAAAATAAGATTAAGTTTTGGCTATTGTGAAGAGTAATTTACATAGATTTATTCTTAATAAGAAATAATACTTTTAAAGATTAAACACCCAACACTAACTTAAATGTAACCTCCCCGGTATTGCGTTTAAAGTCCTAATTCATCGGTTGAAATAAGAGAGAGAGAGAGAGAGAGAGAGAAGGCGGAAGGGAGAGAGAGAGAGAGAGAGAGCGAGAGAGAGAGAGCGAGTATACCCACCAACACAACATTACATAACACATCGCTCCTCTCTCGGCCGCGGGGGACACTACTCAATGATTGGTTTATTTGACGCCCATCTAAGAGCCAATCAAACTCTGTATTGCGCGAGCCGGGTTCCCTGTGCTTCCCGATCAAAACACACTTATACAAAGCACACACTCACCCAACGCACTCCAGTTAGCAGCACCAAACAACATCAAGAAACTACAAGTCATACAGAATAAAGCACTGAAGTTCATACACAACACACAACATATCTATTGTCTAAGTATTAATATCTCTTGTAATACCTACTGTACTATTATACAGTACCAGCTTTATGTACCATCAAAACCGTTTTATCGGAAATTATCATGTAAATAGATAAGAAATTACCATTGCAATAAACATATTTGCCAACTAGACATAATCCTGACAGCTCTGTCCTCTTGTTCAACCTTAACACTGTACAACCCATGCTGTACTGCTCCCCCATTATACTTATGTTTATCAATTCCACTGTAATTTATGTATATGCTTATAACAAAATTAAACTAAAAAAATGTAATAATAAATAAATAAAATAAATAAATAAATATTGAAGTGATAATCATGGTAACATTATGAGATGTTCTTATTTCCACCATTCTATTGTACTATTCCAGATGTTACTAAATGTTACATAATACTTCCTTGAGATAAATGTATAGTATATATCAGGTGCCTACAAGAGAGCTCAGGTTCTCAACTGGCTCAGCCATGTTAATATTGTTATTATTATCCACTCTGTATCTGTGTTTTTCTGGCTAAATAAACCCTCAGTAAACTTCCTGACCTCTCGTATGTCTATGGAAAAGGGTCGCGGAAAAGGGACGTGATTGCTGCCCGTATCATCATTGGGTATGACTTTGCTTGGGAGATTGGTATCCCAGCATCCCCTGAGCAACGCTCTTGTGCATTATGCAGAAGACCCGATATCCACTACCTCCTAAGATGTCCCCACACAACGCTTCCGTGACGCCTGCTGGACCACCACTCCACGACCCCCTGACGGAGACACGATGATCCTCCCCATACTGGCCAGATATTATGTAAATAATATTGATTATGTGTTAAAGGAATATCCTTCCTTCCTTAGGCTTTAGTAAACCCCTTTATAATATTTATACTGTATATACTTGTGACACTTGCCAGATGTTTCTGGTGTTATTGTACAGGGGTACCTAGTGACAGCACTAGGATCCCGCTTCCTCTATCAAGGAATAAACAATTGAAATTGAAATGAATAAACTGTTTCAATTCAATTCACTGGACATCACTAACAAACACCTACATGAACAGAGTAACATTCCACCACTCAACATCTACTGGAGACTATTAGGTGACAAACAGATAGAAAAACTCTTAACCACACACCCAGTGGCAGGAATACTTTGACGACATCATACTTCACCGCAGATACCGGAACAGGAACCCCTCCATATTAAACAGACCCAATACCCCATACCCACCTCCTCTATACTAAAACACGTAATTAACAACAATATTCCTATCTATGCACCTGAGTGGCCTGAGAACAATCCAGGAGCTGTATACGAACATTAAGTCGCTCTGAGTTCAGGTATTCTCCTCTCACCACTCCACTCAAACTCTGATGGTGCAGTAGCAATATTGCAACAAATGAGGCTTATCCGAGGTCTGATTATTCCAAGCGAAATCAGAGAACTACCCATTTTCTTATTAAAAAACCCTACGACGAAACCCTCATTCCTCCTTGCAACGAATATGTATTCTGACATTTTAAGATCAGAGATTCAAAACTCTTCCTCTCCAACTAGCTCCGTCCCAGACAACTCTACTACTAACCTACTTCTTCCTTTTCCACTGGGCGAGACCTAACGGGGTTCTGGGTTGGGCTGCGGCAGTGTGAGTCTTGTACGTCGGTCGTGATGCTGGGAGTGTGTACTACAATCCTATAACAATCAGGCATGTTGTGTTAAGCCACGGCACCTATTTCTCTACTCCTGTTACTCATTCCAGCCACTTGTTGTCCTTCCACTGAACCTTTTTCACCCGTGTCACTTGGAATTTATAAATGTATGTGTGTCAGGACTGTACCATGCCTCATAACACTATTGGTCGTGTTTTGTACTAAGCCCGGCTGAGGAATATCTATATCAAGGGTTCCCATGTTCCTTGTGACCCATTTTTGCTTTGTCAACTGTGCAGTGAGACCACAGTTGGTTGAAGTGGACAATTTCAGTGACTGCATATCGTGTATAATGTACAACACCCTACATATTGATGGTATTCTATTCCATGTTGTGATCAGAAAATGTAGTATACTATTTGAATTTCTTAAAACAATAAATGTTTCTATTAAGTTACATTACCATAGATTAAACTTGTAATAGAGCCTAAGTACTATAACAACTACAGTACATTAATTCTGATACTATAAACTACTTTATCAGAGAGGAATTAAGACAAAATAAATGTGACTCAGAAAGATGGACAGCCCACCTGCTGTCAACCTCCTCCTGTATTTCCCACTTCCGAACTTTAGCTTGTACTGTACCCTTCTTGCACCCCCAGAGCTAAGGCTCTTTTCTCTCCGTATCACCAACCACCACTAAAATACATTCTTTTCTACAATTTATTCAAGCGCATCAGAAAACTAAAATCATCATTAATATTGTATTGTAGTGTATTCTTGTCTTATCTCACCTAAAAATTAATGAAAACCTTCGTTGATGCAAAATAAGATTCACATTTCCTAATAATTGTCCTTTCATCATAAATGTGTGTATATATTTATTACGGTTTGATTAGCTTTCTCTACCTTGCGGTGCATGTGGTCAGTGAACAAAACAAACAACTTTCCAAATTGATGCTTGACAAACGGTAACGGTATTTTGATTTTGTGAACACTATCGAAGAGAATGCAGCCTCGCATACATAAGTAGTACCAAACTGGACAAGCACCTTCACGGCTTCATTCTTAATCACAGTATGTTTGTTTGGTAAGCTGATCCAGAACTTTGCATCATCCTCGACTACAAATTTGATTCTTGCTTCATTATCTGCTTGCATATCTGCCATTTCAAGAGCAAAAAAGCCACACTTTGATGCGTCAGCCTTGAATGAGAGCTGCACAAAACTAAAAGATTGTGAACAAGTTAGGAAATCTATCATTAATGTGCTCTGAAAGGGTGTGCAGATAATCCTGTTTCTCATCCATATGATCGACTGTGACATCAAAATCCAAGGACATTGTTGCTGTGAATTCTAAGAAATGGGGTAACTGAGAAAAATTGCCAGCTTCTGCTTGACCTCGAATCAGCTGCAGCTTGCGTATGAAAGCCTTAACTGCACATTGGAGGTCAAAAACCCATTTGCTTTTTTCTTGACGTTCTGTACTGAGCTTGTTAATGTGCTGAAATACATCTTTCAGAAGCGCCAATCAAGCTAGGAAGTGGTGATCACTGAAATATTGGGCATTCTTATGACCTTCAACTTGCAGGAAATAGGCTATTTCATTACGAGGAATGAAAACCCTTTCTAAGGCCTTCCCACGAGAAAGCCACCTGGCAGCAGTGTACATAAGAAGTTCCTGGTGTTCAATATTTTCTTTAATGCATGGCTGCTTGAACATGTGACTATTCAAATCCCTAGCTTTAATGTAGTTGATAATACAGTATTAACCACTGTTTGCGTCGCATCACTGAAACGCGGAGATAATTCTTTTAATGCCCAGCTTTATCTGTGAATGATGCAGTGAGTGGTTTTGATGTGAGGATGCTTTCTTGATAAAAATTCCCGCAATCCAATATTCTTCCCCATCATTCATGGTGCACCATCCATGCTGCATTCGATAACTTTACTCCAGTCCAAGTTTTTTCTGTAAAGAACTTGTTTATAGCATTGAATACATTCTCACCTTTGGATGTAGTTTCTAGTGGAATACAGGTTAGTAAATCTTCTGCAACTGAATATTCCTTAAGAAATCTTCCGTAGACCAGAAGCTGTGGCTGAGATGTGATATCCATTGACTTGTCCACTGCCAATGCTGTCCAGGGGGAATTTCTGAAATCTTCTAAGATTTGCTCTTTCAAGTCCA